AACATTCTCTAACATAAATTATGGCAATATTTTCTTATGTCATTCTCCCATGGCAGTAGAAATAAAAGCAAAAACAAACAAATGGGACCTAATCAAACTTATAAGCTTTTGCATAGCAAAGGAAACCACAAATAGAAAAAACCTACAGGCTGAGAGAAAATATTTGCGAGTGATGTGACCAACATGGGTTTAATTTCCAAGATATAGAAACAGCTCATACAACTCAACAACTGAAAAAATAACCCAGATGAAAATGAGAAGAAAATCTAAATAGATGTTTCTTCAAAGATGACACCTAAATGACCAATAGGCACATGAAAAGATGCTCAACATTGCTATCATTAGACAAATTCAAAACTATAATGAGTACAACTTCACACAGGTTAGAATGGCCATCATTTAAGAAATCTACAAATAACATGCTGGAGAAGGTGTGGAGAAAAGGGAACCCTACTACACTTTTGGTGGGAATGTAAGTTGGTACAGTAACTATGGATAATGGTACGGAGGTTTCTCAAAACACTAAAAATAGTTACCATATGATCCAGCAATCCAGCACTCCTGGGCATATATCTGGAAAAAACTACAATTCACAATAGCCAAGACATGGAAACAACTTAAACATCCATCAACAGAGGAATGAATAAAGAAGATGTGGTGTACACACACATATATATATAGTGGAATATTACTTAGCCATGAAAAATAATGAAATTGGGTCATTTGTAGAGACATAGATGGACTTAGAGAGTGAAATAAGAAAGAGAAAAACAAGTATCATATATTGTATATATGTGGGATCTGAAAAAATTGGTATAGACAGTCTTATTTACAAAGCAGAAATAGAGGCAGAGACACAGATGCAGAGAACAAATGTATGGATACCAAAGGGGAAAGTGGGGGTGGGATGAATTGGGAGATTGGAATTGACATATACGCAACTATTGATACTATGTATAAAATAGATAACTAATGAGAACCTACTGTGCTAGAGAACCTAGCACAGGGAACTCTACTAAATTCTCTGTGGTGACCTAAGTGGGAAGGAAATCCAAAAAAGAGGGGATATATGTATATATATAGCTGATTCACCATGTTATACAGTAGAAACTAACAGCAGTACAAAGCAACTATACTCCAATAAAAATTTTTTAAAAAGATGTGCATATATACAACGGAATACTATGCAACAATAAAAAAGAATGAAATAATGCCATTTGCAGCAACATACATGGATATAGAGATGAAGTGAAATAAGTAAAAATAAGAAATAACAAGTCTGGTTACAGCCAATCTGTGGGCGTAGAGCCCAGCACTTTTCGACTGTGGCTGTGGCTGCTACATCGTGGCCTTGAAAAAGGCAAGAAGAGACCCTCCCTCCATCTGGGGCAAGAAGATCAGGCTCAGGCTCACAAAAGCCACTTGTCTGTCTAAGGCTCGTAGGAGAAATGAGAGTCCACTGACAGATCAGCAAGAAGATCCCCAGAGGTTCAGCAGGAACAAGCAATGATCAGAAGTAGCCATCAGTTTCTGCTGGCACACTGCTCATCCAATTACCATGACTTTAAAGTAAAATGACTCTTATTCTCCCACCAAAGACAAGTTCTGTGGCTTTATCAAGCTAAAAAAAGGTCTTCTTACAATAATAGCTATCCATCATAACAAAAACAAATTTTTCTCACTACTTTGCAAGTTGTTCTCCTGTGCACATCAATTAGCTTTTAACTATTGTAAGATTCTGACAGTGACTCAGGAAACTCAAACCAGGGCTCTGTGACATCCTAGAGGGGTAGAATGGGGTGGCAGGTTCAAGGGGGAGGGGACATATGTATGCCTATGGTTGATCCATGTTGATGTGTGGCAGAAGCCAACACAATTTGGTATTGGTTTAAAATAAACAAACAAAAAAGAGATATATCTATTATATGTAGAATCTAAAATATGACGCAAGGTGGGGGGATGGGATAGTTAGGGAGTCTGGGATTGATGTACACACTGCTGTATTTACCATGGATAATCAATAGGGACCCACAGGGAACTCTGCTCAATATTATGTAACAATCATCTAAATGGGAAAAGAATTGGAAAAAGAATAGATACATGTGTATGTTTAACTTAATCACTCTGCAATACACCTGAAACTGTAACATTGGTAATCAACTATACTCCAATATACAACAAATAGTTTTTTTAAAAAGTTGAAAGAAAATATGACACAAATGAACATACCTACATAACAGAAACAGACTTACATATGGAGATCAGATTTGTGGTTGCCAAGGTGTAAGAGGGGTGGGGGAGGGATGAATTAGGAGTTTGAGGTTAGCAGATGCAAAATATTATATATAGAATGCATAAACAACAAGGTCCTACTGTATAGCATAGGGAAATGTATTTAATAACCTGTGATAAACCATAATGGCAATGAATATAAGAAGAACTTATATCCATGTATAACACAATCACTTTACTGTATAGCAGAAACTAACAACACTGTAAATCAACTGTCAATTAAAAAAAAGTATTGAAAAACTTTGTGTCCTCTAACACAACTCTTTGAAGTTACTTTGTATTCCAAAAGCAAAATAAAATTTGGGCTGCAAAATCTGCCACCACATAGGAACAATCAAAAATCAAAGAAAAATATCCCACATTTACCCTGTTTTCAGGCTTTGTTACCGATTTCATGCAGGTAGTGCCAGCAAGGCTACGAAAGCAGCCTATGTTTATTGCAAATTCAGCTGACTACTGAAAGTATAGAATGACTTCATAAATAGAATACCTGTAAAGTTTGTCCTAATGGTCTATGATGGATGCAAGTCAGCTGACCAGCCAGTGATGCACAGGGATGGAGAGGATAAGCATGCAGAGAATGGATGCTATTCCATTAGGGATACTCAAGCAGGCATCTGTCACGGACTGGAGTTGGGCGCTAAGAGTCCATTCCAGACCGAGTTTCTAGGATTCTGAAACTAAAGAATACCAGGTATTCTTTTAAAAGTATTATTGAGCTCTGTTTTGCTTCTCAGACCGCAGGGAAGGAGGCCAACCCTGGGTTGGGACTCCTGCCCAACAGTGAATGCCCTAGTGCCTCTGTCTCGTGCTGGCCAGATGGAGGCATCACCTAGCCCAGGTAGGTTTTGACATGAAGATAAAAGTCTGGCACCACCACAGGCCCTCAACTCTTTGTCTTTATCCAACTAGGGTAGGTTATGATATGTGGAAGCCTCAAGTGCTTGTGGTTTCATGTGTCCTTGGGATCCCTTCCTACCCTAGAGACTTTTGACATAGAGAAGAGAGCATTTCTACCTGTACCTCAAGAGTTCGATGTCTTAGCATGTGTGTACATTTCCTCTCTCATCTTCCAGAAGAAGCTAGCTCCCCAGTCAATTAAATTCTTGAACCAAATGCTGTTTGTTTGTTTGTTTGTTTTTGTGGTAACTATAATCATGAATGTATCCAGCTATTAGTAACCAAAGAACATGAGGAAAAAAGATGGGCTCGGATTGCTTTGGGGAAGATTCTAGAGGAAGGACAGAGACACAGTGAAGACGAAAAGGACCACTTAACCAGGACAAGTTACTCGAATTGGACATCAGTGAATTTATATTTTGGTTAGCATTTTGCAAACAATTTTTCTAAATCTTTAAAAAACGATGTCTTTCCAAATAATCACCAAACTCCCAACAGGCACAAAACACTCTGAAGAACTGAGTGGACCATAACCAATTACATAAAACACTACTGCCAGCAGAAAATTCCTGATGCTTGATACATGTTCAAAGTGAAAGCTACACATGCATCTTTCGTATTAAACCACTGATGTTCAGTGAGGTTCAGCTTGAAGACACTGATTTTCTATCATTTAGAATGCAAAAGGGTGAGCAGGGCAGATTATTATGGAACTAAGAATATGCATAATTTTAAGGGAAAGATGTATTTATCACTCAAGAAATACTATTTAAAATATTAACAGTTTAAAAGGAACATTAACTGTGAATGGCAGTTAGAACACAAGGAAAATATGACATTTAAGCAAGTTAATGTTAACTCAATAGAAATCACACCATCATCAAACTTTCTGTAGAGAATTTGTGAATGCTATCTTATCTTTTGCTTAAGTTCATACAGAGTCCCAGAAAAGCATGTGAATAAGATCTGTTTGACATATTTACACCTATATCTTATCTGCTTTAAGAAAAAACACTCCTTCAAAACCCTACACTATGAAAAACTATTTTCAGGAATTTTTATTTGGTCCGTTGATCTAACAAGGCTGAGATCGCAAATCTTTCACCCCCAAGTTAAAAATTGGAGCAACAAAACAAAACTCCAGCAAGGCATAAATAAGATAGTAAAGTGCATATATACAATCCCAGAAAAGTTTTGATTGGGAAGAGCAAAAATTTCTAGTGCAAAAACTGCTTTTGCCAGCAAAGCTCCCTCTCTGAAATCAAAGGGCTACAATAAAAGTTAAAATTGGAACGTGTTTAAGCAATGCCTCTTTTCAGTCAAGAGTTAATATATGTGCATGCACCTTGGCCCAAACTATATTCAACCTGGTAAAAGGGGGGAATTTCAGAGGACAGTTCAGAAACAGAATTTCCTGATCCAAGGCACTGCTTTCTCCAGGTGCCCCATGAGCAAGTTCCTTAGATGTGCAAGCTGATGTCCATCAGCTGCAAGTGGACACTTGGAAAAACCCCAGGAACATACTTGCAGTGTGCTCACGGCTTGTGAAGCATATTCAAACACGGTCACTTTATCTTGGTTTTGTCTTGTGTCTCTCTGTTCTTTCGAGCCCAAACTTGACTCTCTGCAATGTTTTGTGCTTTTTGTATTTGAACAGAGACTGGGCATTGTCTGTGGGAATTCCCTTGGGTTATATCACCATGGCCTTTTGAACATCCGTTTTTATCTTTTTTTTGGGATTCATAATAAAATAGTTTTGAATTTCTCAGTACAATTACATAGATGAAGGATTTTTTTCCCCTTTTCCTTCAAGGATCCAAGTTGAAAGCTCTTAGGAGGACATCCAGATCACCGAGATTAGCCGCCTGGAAGAGTTCCGGCTGGTCCATCAGAGAAAGGGCAATTCTAAGGGCAGCCCAGATATTCCCAGAGATGGCAGGATGAGGGACTTGCTGCTGATTCCTGCTCTTTCTTTGCAAACTGAGGGCAGTGAGAAAATTGCTGACCGCTTCTCTAAGAGGGTAAAAAAACAGACATTTAAAAATTCAACAGATTTCAGAGTTAGCCAACTTAGAAGTAAGATAAAAATGAATTATCATCTTGGTCTAAAGTCCAAAACCACCTCTTTGGTGTTTTGGATCACGAGGTGAACAGCTTTCTGATTCTCTCACTATTCCTTTGTGAAGTCATTGTTAAACATAGTGAAATCAGAAAGAAGGAAAGTAAACTATGTTTTAGGGATGTCACATGGGACAGTTAGAACCATTGCTAACTCATTAATGCATTTGATTTTCTCCTTGCTCCAGGAATGATCTGATGACTTAATACCTTTGCAGATATGATTTGTATAAACAGAGGCGGCATCTGACCTTACTCTGAAACTATGTAGTTTAGCTTTTTTCATTAGTTTAACTTTTCTCAAAATAGGAGGCAGCCAGGGTTCAGTTGAGTTTGAGTTTCAAAGCAGCTGGTTAGGCAGCTGCTTAGGCAGCTGGTTTGCAGCCTTAGGCAAATTTCTTCTCTAAGTCTCAGTTTCCCCAACTGAATAAAAGTCATTTAAGAACCTTGTTGTGAGATATAGCTGAATCATTTATGTGAAAGCTCTATCATTAAGTTAGGTCAATAGCTCTCCATGTGTGGTCTGGGGAACTCTGGGGATCAGTGAGGTCAAAATTATTTTTATAATAATACTGAGATGTCATTTTACAGATTCATTCTCATTTCCTCATGAATATACAATGGAGTTTTCCAGCGACTTTTATGATGTGTGATATCCCAATAGACTGAATGCAGAAGCAGAGTAAGAATGTCTTCTATAAGCAAGATATTAAAGAAATTTGCAAAAATGGTAAAAGAATGCCACTCTTCTTGGTAAACAGCTTGTCTGGGGGAAATTTTTTTGGTAAAACATATAATTTATATAAACACATAATTGGTTTATTATTTTTAAATGAATCTCTTCAACTTTTCTCAATTTCTAATATGGTAAATATTGATAGGTATAACCCACATAAACAAAAGTCCCTTCAGATTCTCAGTAAAAGTGTAAAGGTGTCCCAAGAACAAAAAGTCTGTGACCCGCCTAGTCAGATGCTCTCCAAAGGCCTAGCTCCTGTGGTCCACGACCCTGCTTCTGTTGCTTGTGTGCCTGGAGCACTTCCTGGAACGGCCCTCTTCCGGTCCCCATCACCTGGAACATGTATTACATATCTGACAAACTTGTCTTTGCCAAGAATGACATCTCTTTAACTTGTTTCTTCTTTACTCTTCTTAAAAGCTTTTCACACATTTGATCTCATTTAGTCCTACAAGGCAGTTACTGTTAAGCATCCTAAGAAACCATAAGGAAAGCAAGGCTGGATTTCTGATTCCAGCGCACATGATTGAGGCATTTGCTCATCAACACTGCTTGGCTCAGACAGTAAAGAATCCACCTGTAATATGGGAGACCTGGGTTCAATTCCTGGGTTGGGAAGATACCCTGGAGGAGGGCATGGCCACCCACTCCAGTATTTTTGTGTGGAGAATCCCCTTGGACAGAGGAGCCTGGTGGGCTATGGTCCAGGGGGTCGCAACAAGTCGGACACGACTGAGTGACTAAATGCACACACATTGCTAGATCTGCCCGGAAGTAAAGGGCACTGGAGGTAGCAATTTGGGTAATGGAAGGGAGTGGGTGTTTTCTCATCACCCCTCTTCTGGATTTCTTGTGATCAAGCCAGAGAGGAGGATTTATAACAGATGCACAAGGAAAGTTTGCCATGGAGGCACTTTCTGGCTTCCTCGGCACAGCTCAAATGATGACGACTCCATTTACTCTCATCATCCTAAGCCTGTAAGAACTCTGGGGAAGAAAGATGCTGGAATGCCCTCCTGCATAGGCTGCTCCCGCCCCAGGGTGTGGCAGTGGTCTCTGAGGGCCATGGAGGGTTACGGCCTAGAAGAGTCTAGCCTTAGCCTGCTGGCCTCGTCAAGCAACTCTAGGTTTTTCTCATGAAGATAGTCTAAGCCTGTTCCCCAGCTTAAGGACTCAGAGGTCTTTGGGGAACTCAGAAGATTATACACGTACAAGTGTGAACAGTTCCAAATGTTACACATACACATGTATGTATAAGTTAAAATTGTTTTAAATGTTATGTCAAGATTAAGAAAAAGCACATTTGTTTAAAAGCATTCTTCACTTTATAGTAGGTTTCCCTCATTATACTAAGAATAAACACATTACTATCAAAGGGGATGAGATTTATGTTTTCAATTAAAATGGGGTCCTCACTTTTGAATGGCTCCTTCCCAGGTGGCTCAGCGGTAAAGAATCTGCCTGCAGGACAGGAGACGTGGGTTCAATCCCTGGGTCAGGAAGATCCCCTGGAGAAGGAAATGGCAACCTGCTCCAGTATTCTTGCCTGGAGAATCCCATGGACAGGGGCCTGGCCCGCTAAGGTCCAAGGGGTCGCAAAGAGTCAGACACGACTTAGTGACTGAACAATCCAGCCCTCACTTTTGAAAAGGTTAAGATTTTTTGGTCTAAGCTCTACTTTGAAGCTTCTACTGACAAAAGGGGAGCATTTTAAGCTCCGCCTCAGTTTCATACCAACAATTTCCTCTCCTTATTTCAACTGTATACAGTATGAGGAGAGTGCTTGCCTTTGACTCTTCATAGAACATGTGAGATGAGAAACAGCACATGGTATAGGTCCATACACAGACACCTGCATTCTTGAGGGAGATTTTAGGTTCCAAGACCAGTGGATATGGACAAATTGGCACCAGCTCTTGGCTTTTTTCTGGGCCATATCTCTACTGAGGGTTGTTACTTCCTAAGGACATAATTATACCGAAAGTGAAACTTGTTTTCAGAATGCATTTAAGCCTATGGTCTTTTTTCTCAGGAAAAATGCAAGATGTTTATTATTTCACAAGGTTTCCCATATCATAAAAAGACCCACAAAGTATAGTCAAAACACTTTGCTGTTTCAAAGTATCTAAGAATGTTCAAACTACTGCACAATTGCACTCATCTCACACGCTAGCAAAGTAATGCTCAAAAATCTCCAAGCCAGGCTTCAACAGTACATGAACCGTGAACTTCCAGATGTTCAAGCTGGATTTAGAAAAGGCAGAGGAACCAGAGATCAAATTGCCAACATCCGCTGGATCATCGAAAAGGCAAGAGAGTTCCAGAAAAACATCTATTTCTGCTTTATTGACTATGCCAAAGCCTTTGACTGTGTGGGTCACAATAAACTGTGGAAAATTCTGAAGGAGATGGGAATACCAGACCACCTGACCTGCCTCTTGGGAAACCTATATGCAGGTCAGGAAGCAACAGTTAGAATTGGACATGGAACAACAGACTGGTTCCAAATAGGAAAAGGAGTATGTCAAGGCTGTATATTGTCACCCTGCTTATTTAACTTATATGCAGAGGACATCATGAGAAACGCTGGGCTGGAGGAAGCACAAGCTGGAATCAAGATTGCCAGGAGAAATATCAATAACCTTGGATATGCAGATAACACCACCCTTATGGCAGAAAGTGAAGAGGAACTAAAGAGCCTCTTGATGAAAGTGAAAGAGGAGAGTGAAAAAGTTGGCTTAAAGCTCAACATTCAGAAAACTAAGATTATGGCATCCGGTCCCATCACTTCATGGCAAAAAGATGGGTAAACAGTGGAGACAGTGGTTGACTTTATTTGACTGCAGATGGTGACTGCAGCCATGAAATTAAAAGACACTTACTCCTTGGAAGGAAAGTTATGACCAACCTAGACAGCATATTAAAAAGCAGAGACATTACTTTGTCAACAAAGGTCCATCTAGTCAAGGCTATGATTTTTCCATAAGTCATGTATGGATGTGAGAGTTGGACTATATAGAGAGCTGAGCGCAGAGGATTGATGCTTTTGAACTGTGGTATTTGAGAAGACTCCGGAGAGTCCCTTGGACTGCAAGGAGATCCAACCAGTCCATCCTAAAGGAGATCAGTCCTGGGTGTTCATTGGTAGGACTTATGTTGAAGCTGAAACTGCAATACTTTGGTCACCTGATGCAAAGAGCTAACTCATTGGAAAAAGACCCTGATGCTGGGAAAGATTGCGGACAGGAGGAGAAGGGGTTGACAAGAGGATGAGATGGTTGGATGGTATCACCGACTCAATGGACATGGGTTTGGGTGGACTCTGGGAGTTGGTGATGGACAGGGAGGTCTGGCGTGCTGCGGTTCATGGGGTTGCAAAGAGTCAGATACAACTGAGTGACTGAACTGAGCTGAACCAATCAAAGCAGACCGATTTAGCAAACAAGACTACAGGATGTACAGTTAAATCTGAATTTCAGATAATAGTTTTCATTATTAAGTATGTAACATGCAATATTTGGAAAATACTTCTCTAAAAACATACTTGTGTTTATCTGAGATTCAAACTTAGCTGAGCATTCTACATTTTATCTGTCAACCCTAAAATTGACCCGTTCTTTACCAGAGACTTTATGCTTGAGATTAAAAATTCGCACCTCAGCAAATTTTGTCCATTTCTACCTCTTATGGATTTTCATGGCCTCCTGCAAATAGCTGCCCTACTGTGAATGCCAAGAAAGTATTTCATTGACCCCTCATATTTTTTTTTCCTACAGTAAGAAGTTACAATTAAAACTCACCTGGAAGCTTTGCAAAATGTTCATGTAAGGGAGGCTCTTCTAAAGCTTAGCATGTACATCAATGAAGTTAGAACATTCCCTCACACCACAGATAAAAATAAACTCAAAGTGGTTTAAGGACTTAAATATAATACATGACACCATAAAACTCCTAGAAGAGAACACAGGCAAATCATCCTCTGAAACAAATTGTACCAGTGTTTTCTTAGGTCAGTCTCTCAACACAAAAGAAAGAAAAGCGAAAATAAGCAAATAGGACTTAATCAAATTTACAAGGTTTTGCACAGCAAAGGAACCATCAACAATATGAAAATATAACCTATGGACTGGGAGAAATGTTTGTAAATGATATAGCTAACAAGGGATTAACTCCCCAAATATACAAACAGCTCATACAGCTCAATATAAAAAACCCCAAAAAACCCAATCAAAATATGGCAGAAAACCTAAAGAGATATTTCTCCAGAGAAGACATACAGGTGGCTAACAGTCACATGGAAAGATGCTCAACATCGCTAATCATTAGAGAAATACAAATAAAGACTATAATTACACTGATCAGAGTGGCTATCAAAAAGTCTGCAAATAATACATTCTGGAGAGGGTGTGAAGAAAAGAGAATCCTCCTACACTATTGGTGGGAATGTAAATTGGTCCACTATGGAAAACAGCATGAAGGTTCCTTAGAAAACTGAAAATAGAGTCACCATGTGACCCAGCAATCCCACCTGGCCATATATCTGGAAAAGATGAAAACTAATTTGGAAAGACACCGCGGCCCCCCCTCCCCCGCCCCCCGCCCAGTGTTCACAGCAGCACTATTTATAATAGCCAAGACATGGCAGCAACGTAAATGTCCACTGGCAGATGAACGGATAAAGGAGATACGGGGTATGTATATATGTATAAAGTGGAATAGTACTCAGCCACAAGAAGAATGAAAGAATGCCATTTGCAGCAACACGGGTGGACCTAGAGAGGGTCATACTGAGTGGAGTCAGCCAGAAAAAGACAAATAATATAATGTCACTTATTTGTAGAATCTTAACAAATGATATAAATGAACTTATTTACCAAACAGGAACAGACTCATAGACATAGAAAGCAAATTTATGGCTACCAAATGGGAAAGGTGAGGAAGAGATAAATTGGGAGTTTAGGATTAACAGATACACACTACTATATATAAAATAGACAAACAGCAAGGATTTACTGTATAGCATAAGGGAATTCAATATCTTGTAAAAAAAACTATAATGGAAAAGAACCTGGAAAAGAATATATATATATCTATCTGAATTACTTTGCTGTACTAGAAACTAACACAACTACGCTTCAATTTTTTTTTTTTGAAAAAGGCTTCCTTCAGTGAATTCAATATGTCTATGTGTACATGCGCATTTGTTTATATCTCTTCTTGTTCCAGAAGAAGGACCTAAGGCGTTATAAAATCTATATACACAACCAACCTAGTAAGTGAATAAAGGGAGTAAAAATTAGAAATCAGGTTAGGGGAGTCAGAGTCAGGAATGAAGCTTATAGATGGAACATGCATCATCAGGCTGATGGGCAGGGAGGTGGCACAATTTGACTCTGGCCCTTTGTGTGGCTGACGTAAAGAGGGCCTGTGCTGTGACACACTTCACAATGTCCACAGAATAGAACAGACTGGGTGCTTAGGAATCACAAAGCTATTCTTGGGTTTTGACCTGAGTAAGATCCTCTTAGAGGACAGAGTGCAATCTAGTGACTGATGTTCTTTCTAAGATCCTCTGAGGATAAATGCAGCAACTCGTTTCTAAAGTTTCAGTATTTGCTGGTGGCAAAATGCTCTAATGTGGCTCAGAGATTGCAATTCTTCAGCTGTCAAAAGAGTACAGTCCAGTTATGTGGCTCTCTCATGACTTCTCTAAATGGTAATAATAATGATGATGGTGGCAATGATAATACTCAGACTAATGATGCCCACTAGGTAGTGAACATCAGTTCTGTGCTAGCAATTACATTTAACCTGCACTATAATCCTGTAATATAGATATTTTATTTTTTTATCCAAGTGAAGAAACTGATGCTCAAAGTTATGTGCCCAGAATTATGAAACCAGTAAATGGCAGAGCTCTGATGTGAACCCAAGTTTGGCTGATTCTAAAAGCCTGGCTCTGAGAATGAGAAAGGGTTTACATTTTTTGTGTAGTTTGACACTAACATTAATTTCTCTTTTTTCCCCCCACTTAAGAAAAGTAACACCTGTTGATTTAGGAAACAGAAAATAATAGGAAAATAAAGAAGAAAAACCACCCAAACTTTTATTACTCAAAAAAAAAAAATGTAATTTATGCTCTGTGTTGATGGGGGAACAGATAGAGGATATAAACCTGAAAGAAAATAAGGAGTCACGAGAGAAGGAGCAAGACATTCCAAACTTTAAAACCACCCTTTGAAGTTTTCCTTTTTTTTAAAACTAACTTTACTTGTAAATTAGGTTTGGAAAATATGGATTCTAGGTTGTGCTTTGCCAAAAACTGGCTCTGAGACCTTGTTGAGTCATTCTTCTGTATTCCTCCGTTCCCAGCCGTGGTTATTTTCCCCTTACCTGGGAAATGAAGGGTTGGACTGCTCACGTTTCTCGGAGAGTTGCTCTTGGGGGTGTTAAAAACCCAGATGACTTGCCCTAACTCCAAATCGATCAAAATCTTTGGGAGAGGAGCCCCAGAATCTACATTTCACAAGATGCCCAAATAACTGCTGTTCTCTAATGACTAAGAAACATGGAGGCGGACAGTTCCTGTCTCAACAGCCCTCAGGATCTGAAGATCTGAAACTCACCCTTAACAGGAGGAGATTACTTCACAAAAGGAGGTATTTTTACTGAGAAACAACCCTCAGGTTAATCGACCTCAGCCCTGCGTGTGACTCGCAGCATTAGCCTGCTGCCATACCGCACCTGTAGGCGCCCAGGTTGATGCAGCTTATCCCCAGGTTGTATCTGGACCGGATGAAGCCCGGCTGAATCTCCAGGGCTCGTGTGTAGGCCTCCACAGCCTCCTCGCTGCGGTCTCCATTCGCCAAGGTTGCCCCAAGACGGTTCCATAATGAATAGTCCTGGTGAAAAAATTTGAGCTCTCTTAACAATTTGCACAGGCCACAGTGACACAGTATTCCAACATTCCTGGTTGAAGGATGATAGCTAAAAATGTACTTGCTACACACTTACCTCTGGTCGAACAGTTAAGGCAGCATTAAACGCGTCTATTGCTCTATTAAATTCTCCACTCAGGTGGAACAGCACCCCCAAGCCTGTCTGCAGATCTGGGTCAATCACATCTCCATTTTGGTGGGCAGCTTCCAGGTATAATTCCTTCACTCCTTCCAGAACAGAGCTACGAGGAAAACAAATCAGATTTGTTGGCCAAATAGTCTGAATACAGATGATTTACTCTTCCCCATACTTAGTTCTCAGGCTTTATAAAACCTAGCACATTGCTATTTAAGTTATTTATATGCCCGAAGTATTTGGCTTTGAAATATGGTATTCAGATAAACATCTAGGAGTGTCCACAAGTAGATCATGTGTCCAAAGTTTGGTTCTGGTCTCTGATCAACCTTTTCAGTCAGTGCTGCTCTTTCAGCAAAATGCTATCCTACCCACCATCCTGAAATGCATGGTGGGGGGACCTGAGGCTTGTTAGTTGCCCCGAAGCTGACTGACTATGTACACGGATGTAATTTAACAAGAAGGATACCTATCAACTGGAGACTTAGACATCCGCCGGGTGAGGCCTGGAGATCCCTTCTTGCTCTTCACAAGGTATTTGTACTTTGGATTCTGCTTAATCCAGTTCTTTAAAGCCTCGCAAGCATCTTGCTGATGGCCGGTGTTAGTGTAACTCACAGCCAAAGCCATCAGGGCTTTCAAGTTGTTGGGCTGCAGTTCTAAGCACCTGAAAGAAGAAAATAAAAGTTAATTTCAGAATTTTCTGGAGCCAGAGTTTGAACAGTTCTTTAGAAAACTTGAGGTCTTTACTGACTAAATGGTGCAAAGCATTGCTAAATTTCTGTTAAGTCTCTGGAAAATAACCATATTTATCTACATGAAAATTGGGACCTCTGCCCATTTTTAAGAGTTACAACTCCAGTCTTATAAGTGCATTTGGTAATTTTAATGAGATGGTTTAAAAACTGTAAAAAATGTGGCTAATCCTCTCACATAATTTGGTAGTAATTAGTTTATCTAATGGGAAATAGGGAATATCATTATTTTAATGCTGCTCTTAGCAACTAAACAACAGCTATCAATATATTAAATGTATCTTATCCAAAAAGCAAACTGACTTGAACTAAATTTCAATGTTAAGATGTAAAAGATTGTACAGTGCTTTGTAAAGGAGAAGGAAATTCCCAGGGTTTCTAGACTACTAATGTGGGCTTAGGAGGCAGAGGCTCCCCCTCATGCTAACCCACTAGCAAGGGGCTTTTCAAACTTTGATGTTAGAATGAGAATCATCTGGGGATCTGGGAAAATGCAAATTCTGATACAGTAGGCCTGGGGAGCAGCCTATGGCTGTGCAGGTCAGACAGGCTCCCTGGTGATGAGATGCTGGTAATCTGTGGATAAGACTTTGATTAGCAAGCCCTCAGTTCAGTTCAGCTGCTCAGTTGTGTCCCACTCTTTGCGACCCCATGGACTGCAGCACGCCAGGCCTCCCTGTCTATCACCAACTCCCGGAGTTTACTCAAACTCATGTCCATCGAGTCGGTGCTGCCATCCAACCATCTCACCCTCTGTCATCCCCTTCTCCTCCCGCCTTCAATCTTTCCCAGCATCAGGGTCTTTTTCAGTGAGTTAGTTCTTTGCATCAGGTGGCCAAAGTATTGGAGTTTCAGCTTCAGCATCAGTCCTTCCAATGAATAATTGGGACTGATTTCCTTTAGGATGGACTGGTTGGATCTCCTCGCAGTCCAAGGGACTCTCAAGATTCTTCTCCAACGCCACAGTTCAAAAGCATCAATTCTTCAGCACTCAGCTTTCTTTATAGGACAATTCGCACATCCATATGTGACTACTGGAAAAACCATAGCTTTGACTAGATGAACCTTTGTTGGCAAAGTGATGTCTGCTTTTTAATAAGCTGTCTAGGTTGGTCATAACTTTTCTTCCAAGCAGTAAACGTCTTTTAATTTCATGGCTGCAGTCACCATCTGCAGTGATTTTGGAGCCCCCCCAAAATAAAGTCTGTCACTGTTTCCACTGTTTCCCCTATCTATTTGCCATGAAGTAATGGGACCAGATGCCATGATCTTAGTTTTCTGAATGTTGAGTTTTAAGCCAACTTTTTCACTCTCCTCTTTCATCAAGAGGCTCTTTAGTTCTTCTATGTTTTCTGCCATAAGGGTGCTGTCATCTGCATATCTGAGGTTATTTATATTTCTCCCGCAATCTTGATTCTAGCTTGTGCTTCAACCAGTCCAGCATTTCTCATGATGTACTCTGCATATAAGTTAAATAAGCAGGGTAACAATATACAGCCTTGATGTACTCCTTTCCCCATTTGGAACCAGTCTGTTCTTCCATGTCCAGTTCTAACTGTTGCTTCTTGACCTGCATACAGAGTTCTCAAGAGGCAGGTCAGGTGGTCTGGTATTCTGATCTCTTCAAGAATTTCCCACAGTTTGTTGTGATCCACACAGTCAAAAGCTTTGGAATAGTCAATAAAGCAGAGGTAGATATTTTTCTGGAACTCTCTCGTTTTTTCAGTGATTCAACAGATGTTGGCAATTTGATATCTGGTTCCTCTGTCTTTTCTAAATCCAGCTTGAACATCTGGAAGTTCATGTTTCATGTACTGTTGAAGCCTGGCTTGGAGAATTTTGAGCATTACTTTGCTAGCATGTGAGATGAGTGCAACTGTGTGGTAGTTTGAGCATTCTTTAGCATTGCCTTTCTTTGGGATTGGAATGAAAACTGACCTTTTCCAGTCCAGTGACCACTGCTGAGTTTTCCAAATTTGCTGGCATATTGAGTGCAGCACTTTCACAGAACCTTATCTTTTAGGATTTGAAATAGGTCTACTGGAATTCCATCACCTCCACTAGCTTTGTTCATCGTGATGCTTCCTAAGGCCCACTTGACTTCATATGAAACTAAGGGCCACCCAAGACGGATGGGTCATGGTGGAGAGTTCTGACAAAATGTGGTCCACTGGAGAAGGGAACAGCAAACCACTTCAGTATTCTTGCCTTGAGAACCCCATGAACAGCATGAAAAGGCAAAAAGATAGGACACTGAAAGATGAACTCCCCAGGTCGGTAGGTGCCCAGTATGCTACTGGAGATCAGTGGAGAAATAACTCCAGAAAGAATGAAGAGATGGAGTCAAAGGAGAAAAACACCCAATTGTAGATATGACTGGTGATGGAAGTAAAGTCTGATGCTGTAAAGAGCAATATTGCGAGGGTGGGATGATTTGGGAGAATGGCACTGAAACATGTATATTATCATATGTGAAATGAATTGCCAGTCCAGGTTCGATGCATGAGACAGGGTGCTCAGGGCTGGTGCACTGGGACGACCCAGAGGGATGGGATGGGGAAGGAGGTGGGAGGGGGGTTCAGGATGGGGAACATATGTAAGCCTGTGGTGGATTCATATCAATGTATGGCAAAACCACTACAATATTGTAAAGCAATTAGCCTCCAATTAAAATAAATAAATTTATATTTTTAAAAAAAGCAATACTGCATAGGACCCTGACTGTTAGGTCCATGAATCAAGGCAAATTGGAAGTGGTCAAATGGGAGATGGCAGGAGTGAACTTCATTTTAGGAATCAGTGAACTAAAATGGACTGGAATGGGTGAATTTAACTCAGAGGACCATTATATCTACTACTGTGGGCAAGAATCCCCTAGAAGAAATGGAGTAGCCCTCATAGTCAACAAAAGAGTCCAAATCTCAAAAACGACAGAATGATCTCTGTTTACAAAGCATAACATTCAATATCACAGTAATCCAAGTCTATGCCCCAACCAATAATGCTGAAGAAGCTGAAGTTGAACAGTTCTATGAAGACCTACAAGACCTTCTAGAACTAACCCAAAAAAGATGTCCTTTTCATAATAGGGGACTGGAATGCAAAAGTAGGAAGCCAAGAAATACCTGGAGTAATGGGCAAATTTGGCCTTGGAGTACAGAATGAAGCAGGGCAAAGGCTAACAGAGTTTTGCCAAGAGAACGCATTGGTCATAGCAAACACCCTCTTCCAACAACACGAGTGATGACTCTATACCTGAACATCACCAGATGGTCAACACTGAAATCAGATTGATTATATTCTTTGCAGCCAAAGATGGAGAAGCTCTATACAGTCAGCAAAAACAAGTCCGGGAGCTGACTATGGCCCAGATCATGAACTCCTCATTCCCAAATTCAGACTTAAATTGAAGAAAGTAGGGAAAACCACTATAGCATTCAGGTACAACCTAAATCAAATCCCTTATGATTATATAGTGGAAGTGACAAACAGATTCAAGGGATCAGATCTGATAGAGTGCCTGAAGAACTATGGACGGAGGTTCATGAAATTGTACAGGAGTCAGGGATCAAGACCATCCCTTAGAAAAAGAAATGCAAAAAGGTAAAATGGTTGTTTGAGGAGGGCTTACAAATAGCTATGAAAGGAAGAGAAGTGAAAGGCAAAGGAGAAAAGGAAAGATATACCAATTTTAATGCAGAATTCCAAAGAATAGCAGGAGAGATTAAAAAAAAAAAAAGCCTTCCTCAGTGATCAGTGCAAAGAAATAGAGGAAAGCAACAGAATGGGAAAGACTAGAGATCTCTTCAAGAAAATGAGAGATACCAAGGGAACGTTTCATGCACAGATGGGCACAATAAAGGACAGAAATGGTATGGACCTAACAGAAGCAGAAGATACGGCAAGAATACACAGAAGAACTATACAAAAAAGATCTTAATGACCCATATAACCATGAGGCTGTGATCACTCACCTAGAGCCAGAAATCTCGGAGTGTGAAGTCAAGTGGGCTGCAGGAAGCATCACTACGAACAAAGCTAGTGGAGGTGATGGAATTCCAGTTGAGCGAGTCCTCACAGTACCTATATCAGTTCTTTAGAAACTGATAATGTATAACAAATATATGTGTGTGTGTGTGTGTGTATCTATATATATATATCTATATATATCTATTTATAAAGATTAGGGAAAGTGAAAGTCTGTTTGGTAGGGGCTGTTTTTCCATGGTTTAAATAGGGGCTCTAATCAAGTATCGTGTGATGCTATCTCCACCCAGTGAAGTCTAGAATTTTAGTCAGGGGGTCAGGATGATGAAACTATCTCAGCAGATTCTTTGTAGACAACTGGAGTTAACATTATGCTCAGATTATTCTGAGTATGTTCTTCCCAAAGAAAACTTTCAGATGCTGCAGAAGGCTAGACAGCTAAAAAGAACTATTGATTCAGTGAATCTATTTTATGACTGCTTTTGACATAGACTCTTGTGCCAACGAAGGTCAATTTGTAGGTGATAAAACATTGCGATTTAGGAACATGATTTCTTCATACATTGTTTTCCAGAGCTAAATGTAAATAATATCTGGTGTCTTAGCACTTATCTTGGTCAAATTCTGTACAGTGTACTTAAGGGTCAAAAGACAAATCTGAAACAGCGGGAAGTCCTTTAACAAGTGTCCACCTGGCCTGTGATTTTGCGCTTAGTTTTGTCTACCTCTGGAGGGCGACAATAGCTGCTTGTTCATTTTCATTCTCTGCCTGGGTTATCCCGAGGAACTGCCATGCCTACAAAAGAATAAAAAACAATGACTGATGTCAACGTTGCAAGAGGAAGCAGAGTCACTCATGTGCTTTAGCTGGTTTGTTTACATGTGACAATTCCCTCTCTGCAGAGCACCCTGACTTGGATGTGAGTCTTGCAAAGGGAGAAACATCACACCACCACCTGCATTTCTTCATTCAAATCTCTTGTGGCATCTAGGTCAAGAGTCGCTGTCATTAGTTACAAACTCTAAGTATTTATCCTCTCCTGTGGCCCATGGAAACCTCTTGAGTCTCTGAGGTTTCATGATATTAGGTATCTTAAAACCAAAAGATAAATTTATAAAAGTATGCATTTATCAGGGAAAGAGGTAGAAAAATAATTTAGAAATATAACTAAGTAGTCGAAAGTTTCCAATAAAGAATCTCGAGATGTACACAATAGAAGTAGTTTGCATAAATGAAAGTCAAGTAGTTACTATAAGAGGTAACAGGAAATTTAGGAACTAGAGGAAAGAAACCATCCACCCCCCCACAATGTGTTCAGCACAATGCAATAGTTAAAAAGCATAAAACACATATAAAATGTAATATAATATACCTATAATTTTATAGCCTACATTTACACTTTGTATTACATTGTTAACTCTTTCATGTTTTTATAAAATCCCCTTCAAAATCTATAATTTTGAATTTCCTTTGTTAAATGGATATCCCATTACTCCCACCACTAATCCCCTTACTGCTCTTCGTTGTTTCTAATCCTTTGCTAAAGTCAATAATGTGAAAAATATCTTCAAGTAGATAATGTTTTTCACATCTGGAATAAAAGTTTTTAATATAAAAAATTTCCACTTTTGTACTTTTAAGAAGAATAATTCTCACACCATTACAAGCACAATGTACATCAACAAAACCTCTCATTACACACATTGTCCTCAGATTTGCCTGGGGGTGTATCAGTTGTAGGGATTTAAAAAGGTTTGCATAACCCGCCCCCACCTTTGAAAGTCAATGCTTTGAACATTTTAAAACAAAACTCTATGAAAACATATAGTGTCATCTTGTGTGCATGCTGTGCAATCAGTCGCTTCAGTCGTGTCTCTTTGTGACCCCATGGACTGTAGCCCGCCAGGCTCCTCTGTCCATGGGATTTCCCAGGCAAGAATACTGGAGTGGCTTACCATGCCCTTTTCTGGGATCTTCCTGACCCAAGGATCGAACCTGGGTCTCATATCTCCTGAACTGGCAGGCAGGTTCTTTACCACTAGCACTACCTGGGAAGCCCAGTGTCATCTTAAAGTGCTGAAAAAATTGTATCAGCTTTTTCCCTCATGGGTTATTATTACACATATGATACAAATTCATAAAAAAGTACTATTTCTCTCCCAGAATACCAGGGACTCTTGTACATCTTTCAAATATATTCAGAGCAGCTTCTATTTTGATTTCACCTTTCATACATCTTAGAATGCTTTCTTAAGATTGATGAAACAATCTTTTTCTGGGGGCATCTTCCTAGCCTTTGGGTATAGTATCATTTTCACCATTCACAGACCATCAGTTATCTGAGCCTTGGGGTCTCCATTGATTCAGAAGCCCTGGTCCTTATCTAGGATCCATTAGTTACCAAGTGTGCTCATTTTCTCAGTTGTGAATCTGGGACAATAATGTGTACCTTTCATTAAACTTCCTAGGGTGGTTGTGACAAATGACATATTATGTATGAAAACACACAGCATTTAGAAATGTATGAAGGCATTATTTTGTTGAGGGGGTTGTAGTTTCCTATTAATACAATGACTTTCTTTTCTAAATTGATAGATCTAAAAATTCCAATATTTTGATTCAGAATTTCAACTCTCAATTCAATCTCATTTCACCATAAACATTTTGAGTAACAAGATACTAGGGGCTTTAACTAGTAATTTGTTTATTTGTTCTTTCTGTACAAACTCGGTACAACCAATAATAATGATGAGTGCTAAATACTGACATGTCAGGCACTGAACTAAGCACTTTAATTTCTATGAACTTACTTAATCCTCACAATACCCAATGAGACAGTTATAATTGTGATGTCCATTTTACGTGCGAGGGAACTGAACCTTAGAGGGTTTAAATGGCTTGTCCCAGATCACAGGACTCACGGCTAACAAGTGGTAGAGCAGAAATTTGAACCACATGGTTAGGTAGCAGATCCCAGAGGCTTAACCTCTATTCTCTACTGCCTTCTCAGCACTGTATACAAATTTCTGCAGTTCCTCTGGGAATATCCCCATATAAGATGTTTTCTGAAAATTATAAACTAAAAAGGAAGCCTTTATACCTGCCAGTATCTTATTACAGGGCTTTGCAAGTGGGAGACTTAGTGAACCAAGATAAAGCTGCAGAAGCCTCTTTGGTGGTTTCCCAGTCTGCATGTCCAATGACCCTTCATGTCTCATAGAAAGGGGCTTGTCTCATGTGCAGATCTGGTCATGTCCCTCTCCCACAGTGGTTCCACATGGCTTTCAAGATGAAGTTCAACTCTTGGATACTTCTTTTTGCCTTCTCTCTTGCCTCTGTCTCCTCCTCTCTTACCATGGATCCAATGTTTCCTGTCTCTCTGCCACCCATGAACCATTCCCTCTAAACAACAACTGGACCTCCTTACAGTTTTTAATCATCTCTCCTTCAAAACTCAGCTTTGGATTCACTTGGAGGGCAAGGCTGGGTCAGAACTCTTGCTTTTTGCTCTCCTAGCATCCTGCGCATACTCTGACACCACATTTATTACACTGCACTGACTGATTTACTTGTCTTGCAGATAGATCACAAATCTGTCCTTTCAACTGGTCCATTTTCTCTAGCTCTTCAATCCTTTAGCCCAGCCCATGCCTGGCACAATTCTTGGGACATAATACATGCTCAATAAATGCTAAGTGAGTAAATCAAGGGTGGGATATGGTGTGGCTCTAGACCCAGACGAAACCATACTCTGCCCCATGAAAACTACTGCTGAGCCTCCAGGTTGGCAGTTTTGGTTTTTCATTTCTTGTCCCCACCTTTTATTTTTGGGAACTGTCGACACTGTGGAGGTGGTTAGAAAATAGGTACCTTTTTGTAACTTACAAACATGTATCAGACTTAGCGAGGTTAGCTCCTTTGGGGAACTTTACTTGATGAAAATGCCACCTAGGAGAGCGCTCTGTCACCCTCTGTCCCTTTTAGCACACGAAGCCCCTTTCTGAGCCTGGCAGGATGAAGGGAAATGATACCTCTGCATCTCCAGGGTCCTGAAGAATTGCTGCCTCCATGAATAGGATGGTGACTGGCAGGTCCCCTTCCTTCAGCCTTTTTAAGCCTTCTTCAAATGCTCCAGGCCAGTCTTTGAAGGGGTTTTCAGTATGAAAGTAATAACCCTACAACACAGAGAGGGGCCAACACAGATCCACTGATTTAACTCTTCATTGTTACATTCAATCAGTTCTTTCTGAATTTGAATTTAAGTAATTTTATTTATTTAATTTCAATGAAGTTTAAATTGCTATTTTTTTCCTTATTGTGACTGTAGTACATTTTCATGGTGTAAATGTTAGATATTATTTTGTTACTGAATATAACAAAATAAACAAAAAGATACCTGTAATGTTGCAACCTAAATATGATCACTGTTAATATTTTGGAGTTTGTTTTCCTTCTGATATTTCTTTTGTTCTTTTTGCTTCAGCCATTTACCCACAAGATTTTAAAAATATTGACTTTTATGACAAACTTTTGTGGAGTGCTGCCATGCACTCTCTTGAAATGTTAATACCACATACTGTACATCTGTTTATATACAGTGGCCCTTTGGAGGGCTATGAACTATTGTAGCATCTAGGATTTCACCTTCTACTCACCAAACCAGTTTTTGTCCCATTGTGGGGCTGTATCTCTCCATTGAGAATGCATGTTTAAAAGTTATAGATTTTCTTTTGTTGCAAAAATTTAAACAATACAGATTGTACAAATAATCTTCTAGTATTTTCTATGAGTATATAAGTTAAATAAGTCCATGCTATAAAAGCAAGGTTGTATCTTAAGTCCCATTTAATTTTAGTTATTAAAATTATTTATATTATGCTAAAAATTAATCAATCCTCTTTCGATGGTCACTCAGGTTACTTTTAATTTTTATTGTTGTTATCATAAATAACACTACAGTGAAACTCTTATGCTCAAATCTTTGACTGCATATGATTATTATCTTCAGATAGACTTCTAGAAGGATCTATTATGCTCAAGGCTATGAATTATTTTGAGCCCTTGATATATGTAGCAGAACTGATTTTGAGAAAGTATGCCCTGATAAACTCTCATCAGAAGTATCGGAGATAATATTTGTTGCATCCTTAGTAGCAGAGACTATCATAAAAACCAATTTGATAGATACAAACAAGCTAGTCTGTTGATGATGCTACTAAGGTTTTTAAATACATCAAAGGGAGACCTTCATTCTCCCCAGGTGTTTAGAAAGACAAAACTCTTCGTCAGAATCCATAGGGTATGACCAGCTTATGTAGTGATGTTGGGGTGTGGGACCCTGGGAGGGGGAGCTCAGGTGCACGGGTTATAGCCCGGAGACTGATGTTGTACATCTGTGTTCTCTCTTCTCACTTACTTTCAATTTTTTTGTGGAAAATTAATGATTTTAATGAGATGGTTGATCTGATTTTATGAGATTGACTTGCCTACTGTGGGACAGAGAATACTGGAAGGAGGAAGACATCTTAATGATTATGTAGATTGCTAATCCCCTAAAGTCTGAGACTATTCATTCATCTCAGTCCCCAGTATCTAGGGCAGAGTAAACAGTAAAATTTGTTGGATGGAACCAAATATCATGGAAGTTACTTAGAAATGAATAAACTGAGAATTCCTCTATCACAAAGAACCATAACATTAACATCTATATATATATATATTCCCCCTGTGTAAGAAAATTTTCTCTTTTCATCTCTTTCAAGTCACTTAAACTGATTTCTCAGTGTTTTCTTTTTTTTCCAGGCATTTTTAAAAGCATAAATCCTAGAGCAACTGGGGCTTCATGGGAGAATTTAGCTGGCTGTGGACTGTACTCACACATTTTCTGGGGCTCTTACTAGGGGACTATCTCTGAGGAATCCCCTTGGTACTTGACCCAACTGTGTGAAGTGTTATCTTTTCCACTGAATTCTTTGCTAGCAGCATAAAGACTACCCATGAAATAAAGCCTGAAGCCCCCCCTTTCAACCTCCAGCCCATTAGTATCACTTTTGTCAGCTTATCGACATGGTTTGAGCATTGTGGGATGAGCCCAGTTCTTGTTCTCACTAACCCTCAATGTTAGTTCAGTGACTGGCCAAGCTCTGGTTGGCTGCCAAACTGTCTTAACACTGATAAAAAATAAGGGTGTTCCATTCCAGTTTTGCTGCCTTCACACATTGCATGATTACACTGTTTCTATCTACCAGAATTTCTTCCAGGTCAAATTGATATTAAACAGTCTATTTAATTATTGAATTCCCCCGCCCCCCCCACAAAATAGTTATCAACAATTTATAAAAATATGATCCAAAAAGGAGGAGAAAACTGGTCAACATTTGAAAGAAGAGGAATGGTCACCTTCTCACTGGCTGAGATTGTAACCTGGTTCTGGGCTTCCTGGTTCTCCGATATCCAGTTCCTCCGGGCCATTTCTTCCCATTCTGCTTGCATCTTATCCCAAAACTCTGTATCTGACTAGAAGACAGGAGAAATGAAGACAGATGGATTTAAGAACATGCTATATCATTTGGTTTATTTCCAAGAGACAGTTTTTTTCACAGATAAAAATGACTTCTGGGGAGGAATAAAGTGTTCAGATTGGCCACATCCAACGACACTCATGGCTGAAGAGCTTCTGGAGGGCACTCAGCACTCAAGGTGTCAGAGTATTAGCTGTGATTTTTCTCTGGGAGAAACATAGTTACCACCTGAAGAACCAGGATCATATAAAACCAAATTCAGCTAAAAATCCATTATTTGAATAGTTTCAAGTGTGGGTACCTGGCACACATTTTGGGAAGGGCAGTCTCTCCTAGAGTTGCTGCCAGGCAATGGGATTGGAATGCAGAAGTAGGAAGTCAAGAGATACCTGGGGTAACAGGCAAGTTTGGCCTTGGAGTACAGAATGAAGCAGGACTAAGGCTAACAGGGTTTTGCCAAGAGAATGTGCTAGTCATAGCAAACTCTTTTCCAAGAACACAAGGGACGACTCTTGTGACAATCACTAGATGATCAATACTGAAATCAGACTGATTATATTCTTTGCAGCCAAAGATGGAGAAGCTCTATACAGTCAGCAAAAATAAGACCAGGAGCTGACTATGGCTCAGGTGATGAGCTCCTAATTATAAAATTCAGACTTAAACTGAAGAAAGTAGGGAAAACCATGAGGCCCATTCAGGTATGACCTAATTAAATCCCTTATGATTCTACAGTGGAAGTGACAAATAGATTCAAGAGATCAGATCTGATACAATGCCTGAAGATCTAAGGACGGAGGTTCATGACACTGTACAGGAGGTGGTGAGCAAAACCATCCCCAAGAAAAAGAAATGCAAGAAGGCAAAATGGTTGTCTGAGGAGGTTTTACAAATACCTGAGAAAAGAAGAGAAGCTAAATGCAAAGGAGAACGGGAAAAATATACCCAACTGATTGCAGAGTTCCAGAGAATAGCAAAGAGAGATAAGAAAGCCTTTCTAAGTGAACAATGCAAAGAAATAGAGGAAAACAACAGAACGGGAAAAATTAGAGATCTCTTGAAGAAGATTAGATATACTAAGGGAACATTTCATGGAAAGATGGGCACAATAAAGGACAGAAGAAGTAAGGACCTAACAGAAGCAGAAGATATTAGGAAGAGCTGGCAAGAATACACAGAAGAACTATACAAAAAAGGTCTTAATGACCTGGACAGTCATGATGGTGTGGTCAATCACCTAGAGCCAGATATCCCGGAGTGTGAAGTCAAGTGGGCCTTAGGAAGCACCACTACAAACAAAGCTAGTAGTGGAGGTGATGGAATTTCATCTGAGCTATTTCAAATCTTAAAAGATGATGCTGTTAAAGTGCTGCACTCAACATGTCAGTTAATTTGGAAAACTCAGCAATGGGCACAGGACTGGAAGAGGTCAGCTTTCATTCCAATCCCAAAGAAGGACAATGCCAAAGAATGCTCAGACTACTATACAATTTTGTTCATTTCATATGCTAGCTTAAAAATCCTTTAAGCTAGTTTAAAAATCCTTCAAGCTAGGCTTCAGCAGTGCATGAACCAAGAATTTTCAGATGTACAAGCTGGGTTTTGAAGAAGCAGAGGAACCAGAGAGCAAATTGCCAACACCTGCTGGATCATAGAAAAAGCAAGAGAATTCCAGAAAAACATCGAATTCTGCTTCATTGACTATGCTAAACCTTTAGATCACAACAAACTGGAAAATTAAAGAGATGGGACTCCCAGATCACCTTACCTACCTCCTGAGAAACCTGTAAGCGGGTCAAGAAGCAACAATTAGAACTGGACATGGAATACCAGTCTGGTTTGAAATCGGGAAAGGAGTAAGTCAAAGCTGTATATTGTCAGTCTGCTTACTTAAATTCTATGCCGAGTGCATCATGCGAAATGCCAGTCTAGATGAACCACAAACTGGAATCAAGACTGGTCGGAGAAATATCAATAACCTCAGATATGCAGATGATACCACATTAGTGGCAGAAAGTAAAGAGGAACTAAAGAGCCTCTTGATGAAGGTGAAAGAGAAGAGTGAAAAAGCTGGCTCAAAACTCAACATTCGAAAAATGAAGATCATGGCATCCAGTCCCATCAGTTCATGGCAAACAGATGGGGAAGCAATGGAAACAGTAACACACTTCATTTTCTTGGGCTCCAAAATCACTGCTGATGGTGACTGCAGCCATAAAATTAAAAGATGCTTGCTCCTTGGAAGAAAAGCGATGACAAACCTAAACACTGTATTAAAAAACAGAGACATCACTCTGCTGACAAAAGTCCGTATAGTCAAAGCTATGGTTTTTCCAGAAGTCATGTATGGATGTAAGAGTTGGACCATAAACAAGGCTGAGTACCGAAGAACTAATGCTTTTGAACTGTGGTGCTGGAGAAGGCTCTTGAGAGTCCCTTGGACTGCAAGGAGATCAAACCAGCTAATCCTAAAGAAAATCGACCCTGAACATTCACTGGAAAAACTGTCACTGAAGTTCTAATACTTTGGCCACCCTATTCAGTGAGCTGACTCACTGGAAAAGACCCTGATGCTGGGAAAGACTGAGGGCAAGAGAAGGGGGCGACAGAGGAGGAGATGGTTTTATGGCGTCATTGACTCAATGGGCATGAGCTTGAGCAAACTCCAGAAGCTAGTGAAGGACAGGCAAGCCTGGCGTTCTGTAGTCCATGAGTCACAAGTCAGGCAGGACTGAGTCACTGAACAGCAAGGAAGAAGTAGAGTAGCGCCTGTGGGACTGGCTGGGCAGTGGCTTGGGAAGCAGCCGGCCATAGGCACAGAAAGCAGCACTGGTTTGTCCTGCTCTGTCCAGGCTCTGTGCTAGGAGAAAACTCAGCCTAGAGGGTGATGGTCATAAAGCTAGGATTACACAGGTTCTGAACCGCAGTCTGGTTTCTAGGCCTGTACTCATCCCATTATGGCAAAGGTGTCCTCCTGGTGCTAAAGAATGAAGGAGACTAGCTTTGGGTGTGAACCCGACTGAATCTCCAAGGTCTTCTATAGCAGGATGATTTTTTTGAAAAATAACACTTTGTGTTTTCCTCTTAATAACTTTCCTTTATGTCTTCCCAAGGGGGAAACCAGGCCATTTGCTCTCCCTTACTTCAGGGGATGGAAGCAGACTTTTTCTGCAAGATCTGTCCCTGGTTGGCTTGTATTTTACTGAGCCTGAAGAGAGTACTTGAAGTGTTCTGGAGGGAGGAAAAGGGGACAAGTATCTTAAACACCTTAAGAGAGGAGGGGAGATTTCCAGGGACAGGAAAAGAGAAGGAAGGCAGTAGGTTCTAAGATAGCTTAGCTTTTAAGGATTTCCCTGGCAAACTGGCCTGACCTCCAAGAGAATGAGACAGGGTGTGTTAGGAACTCAGATCCCCACATGACAGAGAAAGAGACACAAACTGGACTTGGATCAACCCTTTGGGGCTTGGTTGGCTGTTAGCAGTTAGCATGATAGACAGGAAGGTGGAGACTCTGTCCTTGTTTTTTGGCACCACATAAGCATTCCATATTTGGTTGAGACTAAGTTACCTGCTTGGAAACCACTATTTTCCTTAAAGAAAACAGTGAAATGGGTACTCCTTGAACATCAGAGTTTGGAACTGAGATCCAATTTCTCTGCAAATCTCAGTTTCTATGATTCTAACTCTGTGACTTGCTACATCCCATCAAAGGTTGCTCTTCATCTTTTAATCCTCCCAGTCTCACTCTCTACTCCACCCTCATTCCTGGGTAGTGGTTGTCCAGGGGTGAGACCTCATCTTCAAAGTTGCTCTAAATGGTAATTATAAGCTTATTTCTTCTGAATATAAACATGCAGGGAAAAAGGGCCAGCCCAGTGTGATTAATCCCAGGCTACTAAGTATACAGCGCTTCTTGTTCTTCTTCTTTACTACGTCCAGAATACTCATTTCTACCAGATATGGGTTCTGTCCCATCAGTAGAGGCTTGCTGCTGCTGCTGCTAAGTTGCTTTAGTCATGTCCAACTCTGTGTGACCCCACAGACGGCAGCCCACCAGGCTCCCCCGTCCCTGGGATTCTCCAGGCAAGAACACTGGAGTGGGTTGCCATTGCCTTCTCCAATGCGCCAAAGTGAAAGTGAAACTGCTCAGTTGTGTCCGACTCTTAGCCACCCCATGGACTGCAGCCTACCAGGCTCCTCTGTCCATGGGATTTTCCAGGCAATAGTACTGGAGTGGGGTGCCATTGCCTTCTCCATAGTAGAGCCTTTCCCCTCAACAAAGGCTCAGGACAGCAAGTATCTTGGTAATGTGTGTCTGATATGCTAGAAGTCCACAGAATGGCCACCAGTTATCCAGGTTAAGGTTAGGAATAAAATTCAAAATGTCTCTTTCAATGAGCCTTTCTGGTAGAACACCAAATTGTGCAAACAGAATGATCTCAGGTATATAACAGTTAGATAAAAGACTAGAGGGAAATATCCTACCATGTTAAGAGTAATCTATCTTTCATATAGATGGCCAATAAACATGTGAAAAATGTACAACATCACTCATTGTTAGAGAAATGCAAATCAAAATTACAATGAGGTATCATCTCACATTGGTCAAAATGACCATCAGCAAAAAAAAAATCTACAAACAATACATGCTAGAGACGGTTTGGAGAAAAGGGAACCCTCTTGCACTGTTGATGGGAATGCAGATTGGTATAGCCACTATGGAGAACATTATGGAGATTCCTTAAAAAACTAGGAATAAAACTACCAATGCATGCATGCTAAGTCGCTTCAGTCATGTCCAACTCTGTGTGACCCTATGGACTGTGGCCCACCAGGCTCTTCTGTCCATGAGATTCTCCAGGCAAGAATACTGGAGTGGGTTGCCATGCCCTTCTCCAGGGGATCTTCCCCACCCAGAGATCAAACCCGGTCTCCCGCATTGCAGGCAGATTCTTTACCATCTGAGCAACCAGGGAAGCCCCCAAAGTACCAAAT